ATCCATTAAGTAAAAACAGCTGGATTTAGGCATAGCAGTAAGAAGAAGTTAGAGACTTCAGTACTCATTCCAGGCCTGGTACTTAACTGAGTTATCTTAAATGTATTTTACCTTCAAGTCTCTGGGAAGGAGTTTCTTGATAAGAAAACTTCTTCCACAAGTTGTTCTCTATTGGCTAAATGAGTCCATTCATTTATTTACTCAACAAATATTTATTAAATTTTGGAATGTAACTGGAAAAACAACAATTCATTCAACCCCTGGGTGTAGCACAGAGGTTGTCCCAGTTTAAAACACAAACAAACAAACAAAAATGGTACGGTCAAATYTCCTCATAAAATACAAATGACAGAACCCTTTGAAAGCAAACATGGCATTTAGTAGAATGAGTCCTCATATATGAGGCACTTACCTTTGGATAGGTTGTACCAAGGTTGTTCACAATCTGTAGATCCAAGAAGTACATTTCTAGTGAGCTTTGTGACCAAATATCCAAGTATATAAATAGCTCATCTGTTTAATTGATATGCCACACACATCATTTAGTCTTCTGTGTTTATCTGGGCCAAAGAAGTCCCAAATATGCCAATGAATGATAACTGAGGTCTTAGACTTATTTCTGTTTCACCTACCCTTGGGATTGCTTTTATCCTTGAAATTAGTAAAGCCTGACATTGGATGTGGAAGGCAATTCCTAAAATGGCTCCCAACAATCTGCACCTCTTAGTATTCACCTCTTTTTAGTCCCTCCACAAGGAGTAGGGCTGGCATGTATAAGCACTAGGATAATGCAAGAAAGATGAAGTGTGACTTCCAAGTTTAGGTAACAAACAACACTATTACTTCCATTTTCTCTCCTGTGCCCTCTCATATGCTCTCTGAWTAGGTTAGTTGTCTTGTGAGCTTCCATTCAAAGGGAGCCACATGAAAAGGAATTAGAAAGTACCTCTGGCCAATAGTCAGGGAGGAAATGAATCTGCAAAASACCATGTGAGTGAGCTTGGAAATGAATCTATTCAGCTGAGACTTCAAGTACCAATATGACACCTTGACAGCACCCTTTTGTTAGACTCAAAGCTGGAGGACCCAGCTGTGCCACACCTGGATTCCTGACCCACAGAAACTAAGAAAGGCTACTGTTGTAAGCCACTAAGCAAGATGATAATTTATAGCAGTGATGGGTAATTAATGTGTTTGGTAGAATCTGATTCATGAGCCTGATTTGTTATCTCAAGTGTCTAATATTCATGCCCTTTTCTAAGCACTTAAGATACATCAATAAAAAGACAAACATTCTTGCCTTTACAGAACTTACAATCTAGTAAGAGAAAGAAGAAAAATACCAAGCAAATACTCAATATAGAAGGTGATAAGTGTTGAGGAAAAAAGAAAACAAAAAGCAAGCTAAAGAGAAGTTGCTGGGGGGTGAGTTAGAAAAAGAACCATGTCAATAAGTCAGGAAAAAGCAGTCCAGCAGAAGAGCTAATATAAAGGCCCTCAGAGATGAGTATGCCTGGCATGTACAAGAAACACYAAGACCGATATGAAATTTAAGAAACAGGGAAGAACAGCAAACAGGGTGAAGGATGAATGCATAGGCCCTGGAGGTCACTGTCTGTCACTCTGAGCTGGGAAGTCAGAGGTGTGACAAGATCTAGCTTATGTTTTAAAAGATCACTCTGCCTGCTGCATTTAGTAGACAGTAAGGGAACAAGGGCAGAGGGAAGTGCTAGGGGAATGACAAACTCTTAACAAGTATCAGCCCCTGTCTACCTCCATAGCTATACTGGCTATATTCCACCCCAGCTCTTCACTGCTTCAAGACACAAAATACACGAGTTAATTTGCTTTATGGCAAAATTAAGGCTTTAAATTCTAGAAATCAACAAAGACAGAAGGCCATGTCAGGGAGCATCAGCCTCCATTTGGAAAAAACAGACTAAAGACAGAACCTTACAAATCTCAGCTAAGGAATGAGAGAATCTGGCTAACAAAAGCAGGTCCTGGCTTATATCTAAGAAATTCACAGATAAGTTAATGCAATAGAAATGGTCTTTTCACTATTATTTCTATTTACAAACCAATTAAAAACTCCACAAAATTTTTTTTCTCATTGATTCTTTAACGTGCTAGTACATTATACAAACCATGAATCCTTCTCAAGTCATTAAGAATTTTAACCAGTTTCTAGCTTGACTTTTATGAAATTGATACTACAGTCAGCAAGTGTACAATGCAAAGGTTTGGCCTCTGCTGTCCCCTAGTGGAATCACAGCTACCTAAATGATTCACAAAATCTCAGCCACAAAATGTAAACCAGTAAATAAGGTGAAAATGGAATATTGCTGAAATGATCTTATTTCCAAGTACACTAGAAAATAAAAGTTACATATAAACCCCTATCTTCTACCCACAGCTACCCTATTCTCCCCAAATAGAAGTATCTGATTTGTGTCTATCTTTCATTCCCAAATTTCTATTTTCACTTACACATTTTTATAAGAAATAAAAGAACTTGTTTTTTTTTTTTTTATTTGAGTACCAAAAATTGATAGCCCTACAGAGAAATGCTTCTTAATGGCAGAATATACCACAGGATATAGCATTTAAAAAAATTTATATCCCTTGCCTCATTTGTCTCACAAGAAGATTGTTTTGTTAAAATGGGGCATGAATAGTTAAGAAAACAAGAAAATTTCTCAACTGCTTGCTATAGGTCCAATGAATTCTAGACAGGTAAATCRATTAATACAAAGCACCTCAAGATGTTAAGTATCTGAATCACCCTTTACTCTTATTTAGCTAAAACACAGAAAAAATACAGATTCCCACGTACCTTAGCTACTTTGCTAATGAATTCAGTCTCCTATATTCATGTATTTTAGTTTAATTCCAAAAGCAAACACTATCTGACAACCCTATTTTAATTACAGCCTAACACAGGATTTTAATTAGTTTCAAATTTTCGTTTAGCCTTTATTTAACTCAATTATTCAGTCTCATGGCCCACGAAACTTTCTAATTATTTCTAAGACCATTAATGGCAACTTTCGAACTGCCAGGGAAAAGATAAGAATTATATGATAACCTTTTCACTGATTATACATATAAAATAGTAAATTCAGAATATAGTTAGCTGTTATGAATAGTCAAATGGATTTCTACTTTTAAAATCAATGGCCGTATTAGAAACTACATTATACCATTTTTTTCATTAGCATTCTCTTCAAGCATAATCTTTATGTTGTTCTTTTTTCATCTCAGTCATTATTGCCCAATTTAATGCTCATCACAGCACATGTTCAACATTAGATTTTCAGCAACTTCATCAGAACCAAGAACCCAAAATATTTCCCCTTCTTGGACTTTTTCCTGATATAATGAAATGTTCCAACAGTCTTCATTTAGGAAAAATACACAATACTGCTAAACATTCTATGAAAGAATTAGTCTGCCCTATCCACATACACATGATTGGCACATCTACAAGACCTGTAAGCAATCCCCTGGTAAGTTGTAAGACACCACATGCRTCTTTAGCTATCCAAAGACTCAAAGGACCACAAAATACAGATGTGTGAGGGTACAAGTACAAAGGCATAATTATTACACATTAACTGAGAAGAACTAAATAATGGAACAAGATATATCCCACCAACCACCACTAATAACTTCTCAGAACATCTCATTATGAACCATAATCCAAACATGCACCCAACAGATACCTGTTGTGGGCACAGGGCAGGTGGGGGGAAAATATATATCAAGCCTGCCAGAGAAGTATATTCACAGTCTTTGCTCAGATGAAGATTTAAACCTTGAGTCTAAAGATCCTATCATCACTGAGAAAGCCTTAGATGTTCATGGCTTGAAATCAGAAGCAATTGCTAGTCCAGTTAGAACCACATCAAAATCCCTCTAAATACCCAATCATTAAGTTTTGATGATAAGGAAAATGGGAAGAAAATGTAAAACTGAAGAAATAGTCCATCTGTGACTAATCATAGGTTTAAAAAAAAAACTAAATATTAATCACAATGAGTGTTTTTCCAAGAAAAACATTATAAATATCAGTGAAAATATTTCTTACTGATTCACCCGTTTTCTTATGATCAATTTCTGGATGCAGAATTACTAAGGCAAAAAGAAGTACTGTAATGCTTTGGATAAGTCTTACCAAATGCTACCTAAAAAGCTGTTAGCCATTTACAATTCTACCACCAGCACACATCTTTTAGCTTCAATGCAACTCAATCGCATCTTGTATGATCTTTTTCATTTATTCAGATACATTTTTATATTTCAGTCCCAAATCACTGTGRCTTTTTTTAATACTTATTTTTTAGTTGAAGTTAAACACAATACCTTGATTTTATTTATTTATATGTGGTGCTGAGGATCAAACCCAGGGCCTCGCACTTTGATGTCTTCTTTTGTAGACAGTTTCTGCATAGATTTTGATCACATATAAGGGGTGTGGAGAAGGAAAATATAGAAAACTAAAAGTATTTACCAATATCTCCAATTCCCATTAGGAAGAAAGGAAAAAAGGAAATCAAGACTCCAAAATACCTTCCCTTTAATAAAGCCTATAACACAGAAGTAAGAATACAAGATGGGACTAGAGGAGTCTGACTGCCCAGGTTCAAATCCTGGCCTTATGTATCTTTGAACACATTGTTTATCTGCTTAAAGACTCAGTTTTCTCATCTGAAATTGGAAAGGTCATTAGGATTCAATGAATGATGTTCAGTGAGCAGTTTGGGTGAAAAGTTTAGAATAAGTAAAGTCAAACAAGAAACTAAAATAAGATTAATGGATTTTTCTTAACATTAATCAAGTTTCAGCCATAATGATTCACAACAGCTGTCAGGTTGTTATCAAACCAACCCCAAATGCCAAACCGATACTCACCTAACTTCTCCATTCTTCGAAGATGAGGAAGCATGCTTTGTTACTTAAATTGTACCAAAAGCAAAGAAATGGGCTAGGACACCTACCTGGCAGTTCTACCTGCTCTGTGAATATATGTGTTGGCATCCTCTGGACAATCAAACTGAAGAACCCAATTTACAGCTGGAAAATCTACACAGAAGGAATATCAGGTTAAAATTTTTAAAAAATCAGTTTCAAGATCTGCCCACTGTACTATTTTTATTTTACAATATTGCTTGCCAACACAAACTAATATCAACTGTGAACTCTACTAAAATTAAAATTAATTGCAAGAACCAAGAGATAATCACTGCTTCTTGGACAAAGTGAACTAAAACTAATTACAGTATTTGAATGTAAAGATTATTTCACAACTGACACTGGACAAATTGCTTTGTGTCAAGCAAATAATGAAACACCCTGATGTTTAATAATCTTAAAAAGAAACACTCTTCTTGGGGTGAACTAAATAACTGGATTCTAAATTTAAAGGGGGGGTTACTTTACCTGCTAGTCCCATCTCTGGATTGAATTGTTCTCTTTTGAGATCCTTGTCCCYAATTCCTAGCAATTATTACTCCCTACATACTTATGGCTACAGCAATTTTCACTTATTCTCAGAATCCTCTCAACAGAACTATCTCTGATCACTTATGAATTTTGCTATGAGGATTTCAGATAACTTTCATCAGAGAAAAGGGCTGAACACCAAAAAAAAAAAAAAAAAAAAAACCCTGGGCATCATGGTACACAAACACCTGTAATCCCAGTAGCTTGGGAGGCTGAGGCAGAAGAATCGCAAATT